AATGCCCCGGTTTCCCCACATTATCCCAATCTACGTAGCTAGCTTCATAACGTTAGCCGACTCGCACTAACTATTGGCGGCAACATCTCTTCTCCTCTAAATGTGCAGTCACTGGCAATTTGCCAGTAGTTTAAAATAATGATTCATTTGGAAACCACCTTAAAACTTACCTCAGAATGATGTCTTCCATCAACTGGGGTGGCACACCGCCGCTTGTGTCCTTTCTTCATCCGTTGTTTGGTCTGCTGCCGTTATCGTAGTCAAGTGGCACCGGCACCTGAGTTTTTTTTTTTTTTTTTTTCACTGGCACCTGAGGTATTAGCGATATTTTCCTCGGCATGACCCGCCCTACTCTGCCTCTGATTGGCTCATCAGTCCTCATGCCTAAAGTTAACCAATCTAATCAGTGAAAGCAGCGAGTACCAGCCAATTAGAGGCAGAGGAGGGTGGGTCATGGCTTCACTATCCCCGAGGAAGAAAATAGGCAATCTGACTCACAGATATTACTGAATGATGCGCATCAGGGGGGATTTAGAAGTGGGTATACGCAATGCTGACTGAAAAATAAGTAGGTATACGCCGTATACCAGCGTATACCCTGGACTACACCTCTGCTTGTGTGTGTATAAAGACCCCAAAATGGCACCTTTCAAGGGACACGTTTACGACGCAGAGTTCAAGCTCAAGGCTGTCGGTCACGCAGTAGAATATGGGAATAGAGCAGCAGCGAGAGAATTCAACATTAATGAATCAATGGGCTGATATATCAGTCTCAACTGTGGTCCAAGCTTTCACGAAGGCAGGAATAATCTCTAAACTGCCAGGCAACAGCAGCGACACTGACTCGGATAATGACGAGAGGGTGCCGGGCAGGTTGGATGCCGTAGTCGCCCAACTGTTCAATTCGGACACTGAAGAAGAAGAATTCGAGGGATTCGTGGACGGGGAATGAACTGAAAAAGTGTGCTTTACGTGTTATACGTAACTGAACAATGTTGAGTTATGCACTAACGTTTGATTTAGTGGTATCAGACTGTTTCTTTTACTACGTGTTTACTGAATCAGGGAAAAGTTCCCCTCCACGTTTGGGAGAAGAGTGAGCAAGGCTGAGAGATATTGTTAATATGCACATTAACGTTTGAACAACGTTACCATGGGAGTGAACGGAGTTGTCAGAACGCTTAATCCAGGCTCTGTCATAGCTGGCCGCGACCGGGAGACCCATGGGGCGGCGCACAATTGGCCCAGCGTCGTCCAGGGTAGGGGAGGGAATGGCCGGCAGGGATGTAGCTCAGTTGGTAGAGCATGGTGTTTGCAACACCAGGGCTGTGGGTTCAATTCCCACGGGGGGTATAAAAAATAATGTATGCACTAACTGTAAGTCGCTCTGGATAAGAGCGTCTGCTAAATGACTAAAATGTAAATGTTAATAAAGTTTGACTTTATCTGACTGTTTTGTTGACATTCCCTTTAGCACAGCTCCATCTAGTGGATGCATAACGCAACCCCAGTCAAACGTTTGACTATTTTCTATTCTATGCGCTTTATAATCCGGTGCGCCCTATATATGAAAACAGTTCTAAAATAGGCCATTCATTGAAGGTGCGCCTTATAATCCGGTGCGCTTTATAGTGCGGAAAATACGGTAGTTGTGAGAAGGGGGGCCGGTATGAAATAAATAATGTATGCACTCACTAACTGTAACTCTGGATAAGAGCGTCTGCTAAATGACTAAAATGTAAATGTAAATGTAAGAAGTTATTATTACAACGAGCAAAGTGATCATGCTGTTTCTATGTGACTGCTATGAAAGTTATGTGTTTACGCGTGATCAGGGGTGTATTCATTCTGCCGATTCTGTTGAAAAACATTTCTTAAACAGAAGCAAACGGAACGAAACGGGGATAAACATACCTGAATTTGTCCAAAAGAAACTCTAATTTGCAACTGTTGGACTAATGATTACACCTTAGATCAGCTAGATGCAGGCAAGACAAGAGTGTGCAAGGCGGTATTGAATGTGTCACTGCCTGTCACCTTGATTACTCAAAATTCTCTCGGCCAGTTAGAAAGATATGGCATATAGAAGCAAACCGGATGGACATCATGAAAATGATCGGAGAGGTTGAGAGTAGAAGAAGTTCAGGAGAAAAAAAAAATATATATATATATATATATATATATAATTATTGTAAAATTGACTGTGTCCATAAAATGTATAGTAAGTATAAGATGGAAGTAGAGGCCTAAGCGTTGTTGTTCACTAGTTTACTCCAATTAGGGAAAGGGTGGTGGGGTTGGAAAGTAATAAAGGGGAATATATATTTTTTAAAGGATATGTATGTGTATGTATGTATGTGTATGTATGTAGCTGGTCCTCTGTAGCTCAGCTGGTAGAGCACGGCGCTTGTAACGCCAAGGTAGTGGGTTCGATCCCCGGGACCACCCATACACAAAAAAATGTTTTATGCATGCATGACTGTAAGTCGCTTTGGATAAAAGCGTCTGCCAAATGGCATATTATGTATATGTAGGTATGTGTGTATATATGTATGTGTGTATATATATATATATATATATATATATATATATATATATATATATATATATATATATATATATATATATACAGGTAAAAGTCAGTAAATTAGAATATTTTGAAAAACTTGATTTATTTCAGTAATTGCATTCAAAAGGTGTAACTTGTACATTATATTTATTCATTGCACACAGACTGATGCATTCAAATGTTTATTTCATTTAATTTTGATGATTTGAAGTGGCAACAAATGAAAATCCAAAATTCCGTGTGTCACAAAATTAGAATATTGTGTAAGGGTTACATTTTGAAGACACCTGGTGCCACAAAATAATCAGCTGATTAACTCAAAACACCTGCAAAGGGCTTTAAATGGTCTCTCAGTCCAGTTCTGAAGCCTACACAAACATGGGGAAGACTTCAGATTTGACAGCTGTCCAAAAGGCGACCATCGACACATTGCACAAGGAGGGAAAGACACAAAAGGTTATTGCAGAAGAGGCTGGCTGTTCTCAGAGCTCTGTGTCCAAACACATTAATAGAGAGGCAAAGGGAAGGAAAAACTGTGGTCAGAAAAAGTGTACAAGCGATAGGGATCACCGCGCCCTAGTCAAGATTGTGAAAAAAAACCCATTCAAAAATGTGGGGGAGATTCACAAGGAGTGGACAGCTGCTGGAGTCAGGGCTTCAAGATCCACCACCAAGAGACGCTTGAAAGACATGGGTTTCAACTGCCGCATACCTCGTGTCAAGCCACTGTTGACCAAGAAACAGCGCGAAAAGCGTCTCACCTGGGCTAAGGAAAAAAAGAGCTGGACTGCTGCTGAGTGGTCTAAAGTCATGTTTTCTGACGAAAGCAAATTTTGCATTTCCTTTGGAAATCGAGGTCCCAGAGTCTGGAGGAAGACAGGAGAGGCACAGGATCCACGTTGCCTGAAGTCTAGTGTAAAGTTTCCACCATCAGTGATGGTTTGGGGTGCCATGTCATCTGCTGGTGTCGGTCCACTCTGTTTCCTGAGATCAAGGGTCAACGCAGCCGTCTACCAGCAAGTTTTAGAGCACTTCATGCTTCCTGCTGCTGACCTGCTCTATGGAGATGGAGATTTCAGGTTCCAACAGGACTTGGCGCCTGCACACAGCGCAAAATCTACCCGTGCCTGGTTTACGGACCATGGTATTTCTGTTCTAAATTGGCCAGCCAACTCCCCTGACCTTAGCCCCATAGAAAATCTGTGGGGTATTGTGAAAAGGAAGATGCAGAATGCCAGACCCAACAACGCAGAAGAGTTGAAGGCCACTATCAGAGCAACCTGGGCTCTCATAACACCTGAGCAGTGCCAGAAACTCATCGACTCCATGCCACGCCGCATTAATGCAGTAATTGAGGCAAAAGGAGCTCCAACCAAGTATTGAGTATTGTACATGCTCATATTTTTCATTTTCATACTTTTCAGTTGGCCAACATTTCTAAAAAATCCCTTTTTTGTATTAGCCTTAAGTAATATTCTAATTTTGTGACACACGGAATTTTGGATTTTCATTTGTTGCCACTTCAAATCATCAAAATTAAATGAAATAAACATTTGAATGCATCAGTCTGTGTGCAATGAATAAATATAATGTACAAGTTACACCTTTTGAATGCAATTACTGAAATAAATCAAGTTTTTCAAAATATTCTAATTTACTGACTTTTACCTGTATATATATATATATATATAAAACATGGGGGATTGGAAGTGATGCAGACAATTACATTGATGGAAGTTACAATCTATCTGCAATATTAAGCTGATCTACCCCCTAAAACATTTACAACATAAGTGGGGCGGCAGGTAGCTTAGTGGTTAAGAGCGTTGTGCCAGTAACCGAAAGGTTGCTGGTTCTAATCCCCGAGCCGACTAGGTGAAAAATCTGTCGATGTGCCCTTGAGCAAGGCACTTCATCCTAATTTCTCTGGATAAGAATGTCTGCTAAAATGTAAGTGCACAGTCCGAGATAATTTTTGTATTATTATTATTTTTTATATATAAATAAATCATTAAAAAATAATACAAAAATTATATCTCGGACTGTGCACTTACGTTGTAAACTTTTATTCATAGGTTAGGCTGTAGCAACCTCATGATGGGAACAGGGAAAATTCAAGCATCATGTAGTAGCCTAAACCTATCGCTGTTACATTGAACTGGGTGAATGGAATATGAATTACAGTCATCCAATATGCTGTAATAGAAATAAAGCCATGCTCATAAAAAATATTATCATCCTCCCTCATCTTAAACAGCACGACCGCCAAAATATGGAGTCAATGTTTCCTTATATGAATGAAGGTACATTTTTATTAATTTAATCTAATTCATTTAATTTAATTCACTTTCATTCCTATACTGTATCTATATCATGTTTCATAACAACATGTGTTGTGTGCATCCAGCCAGTCAGCATGTTATCGTTACCTCATCTGGGACAGGGAGGAGAAGCCAGCCTTCTCCAGCTGAACCTTAAGCTCCTGCAGTTCTCTCTCCACCACCCTCTTCTGTTGCACCAACTGTTTCACCTCCACCAGCCCCTGGCCCTCTCCCACAGCATCCTGGGATAGCTTTCCCATCCCAGGTCCTCCACGAAGCTCTGGGTTCTGATTTGAGGAGAGAGAGATGAGCGTGCAAGATCGCCACAGTATGTTGATAACTAAAATATGTGGTGGTTAGTGGTGGTTAGGCAAGATTCAATGTGACATGATTAGGACAAAATAATCTACCACTATTCCAATATTCTAGGTTAGCTAAAGTCGGGCAGCAGGTAGCCTAGCGGTAAGAGCATTGGGCCATTAACCGAAAGGTTGCTAGTTCGAATACCCGAGCCGACAAGGTGTCCTTGAGCAAAGCATTTAATCCTAATTTGCTCTGGGGTGGCGTACTACTATGACCCTGTAAAACAACACATTTTGCTGCACCTATCTGGTGTGTGTGACAATTTAAAATTGTTTTATTAGTGTATGGCCTACCTGCATGGTGGCTAGGGTTTGAGCTGTCAGTTTGGACTCCTCTTCCTCTGTGCTGTCTGCATAGTCACTGTTGACATCATCCTCTTCCTCTGAGCTGAATTCTGTAAAGAGAACACAGTTCTTAGCATAAACATACACACAAGTTCTGAGAAGAAAATGTCACACTGACAAAGAGCGTCACTCTTTTGCATTTGGCAACAGATCGATAAAAACATACAAATCCTTGACACTTCTTGCTTTTGCCAGAGTACAATTAAACAACCTTTATATACTGTACATGTTCACATCATACATAACCTACCCCAATCCTGGCCTGTCTGTATGTCAAAGTCTTTCCACCAAAAAGCTAACTGACGTGAACGCATCGACAAAAGATTATTCCTACAGTCAGTAAATGGTGGTGGTCACCCTTTAAACCGCTCCTCCTCCCTCTCAGTAAAGACAGGAAGAGAAGCTCTAAACAGAGCAGCTCAGACATTACCTCTGAGGGAATCTATCTCTCTGGACTGGGTTATACTACTGTATGGGCAGATAAACAGTAAGAGCAGATAACTTAACCACTTCCAGTAAATACAACCTTACAGACACAGGATGAGGTGTCTCAGACTAGAGTGCTAAGAGGAGAGGATTTAACATCTGTCCTGTAAGGCTATAGGAGTAGTTTTACAGTTATCCTTTATTTACAGGTAAAATACAATGATGTGTATATAAACCCTGGATTGCTAATGCTATGTATTGGCCAATGAGAGGCTTTGAAGCCACGTCGGCCATATTGGCACTCCTCAGAAGGAGCAGTCGTCCATAGGAATGAATGGAATTCTACAGTATTTCAATTAAAAGTTTCAAGGACAAAATTACATGTATTTAAATATAGTTGTTGTTGTAGTGGGGACAGTAACATTAGTACTTTTAAAACATTTGACTTTAAGGTGCAATATGCAGAAATCACTCGGCAATTTCCTGGTTGCTGAAATTCTAATAGTTTGCCTAATTTCAGTTTATGTGACAAAACAAGCATAGAGAATGTAGAGAATCATTGTACCATCTAAACCACTGTGAAATATATTTTCAATAGCCAAAAATATTGTATTTTCAGCTGTTTGAAGCTGGTGTACAAAACTGAAAGTAAAAGAAAAAAACTAAACTTAAGAACGGAAAGCATAGAAACAGCGCACATAGAACAGATCTACCGCTTCTTAGACTTGCTTTCAATGAGAATGATAGATCTATAACTCACATTTCTATTTGGTTGGGTCGTCCAATAAGTTACATATTGCAGCTTTAAGGAAAATGTTTTTATATATTTTTAAAACAAATGTTTAGCTCACATAATATAATTTAAAAGTATGAATTAAGGTGTCTGTAATATAATAAATGTGGCAAAAACTAATGTAGACATTAATAAATGCATTTCTATAGCTTCCAAAATATTTTTTTTACAACGGGTCATATTGTGACAAGATGGAGGTGCGGTGGCCTCAAAACAGCGCCCCCTGTCAGTCATCTAGTGTATATCATTTATAAATCATCGGTCAAATATTAGCCTGGGACAAGCAGATCTCTTTGATTTACTGTAGGGAGGTCCCAGAACACTCCATGCTTTTAACTCTGATATCACCAGAATGTTGCATTGATCAAATCTACAGGTTTATGTATTTTATATCGGTAATAGATAATGCGATATGGCAAGTGCAGTGGAGGCTGCTGAGGGGAGAACGGCTCATAGTAATGACGGAACCTGGAAACCATGTGTTTGATACCATTCCACAGATTCCGCTCCAGCCATTACCACAAGCCTATTCTCCCCAATTAAGGTGCCACCAACCTCCCGTGGAAAAGTGCAATTGACCAGGGCAAAGTTTTAAAATGCATAAAAAAAAGTGCAGAACGCACATCCTAAAAAGGATAAGGCATCATTGGAGCAATATAGTAGAGTCCATCATTTTGTCTAGATCTCTGTGTAATCTGTTTAGTGTTCACTTGACAAAGATTGGATTTCAGGAATATACTCTATTCAAATAGAAGCCCATTCAAAAGCATACAGTGGGGAAAAAAAGTATTTAGTCAGCCACCAATTGTGCAAGTTCTCCCACTTAAAAAGATGAGAGAGGCCTGTAGTTTTCATCATAGGTACACGTCAACTATGACAGACAAATTGAGAATTTTTTTTCCAGAAAATCACATTGTAGGATTTTTAATGAATTTATTTGCAAATTATGGTGGAAAATAAGTATTTGGTCACCTACAAACAAGCAAGATTTCTGGCTCTCACAGACCTGTAACTTCTTCTTTAAGAGGCTCCTCTGTCCCGTATTAATGGCACCTGTTTGAACTTGTTATCAGTATAAAAGACACCTGTCCACAACCTCAAACAGTCACACTCCAAACTCCACTATGGCCAAGACCAAAGAGCTGTCAAAGGACACCAGAAACAAAATTGTAGACCTGCACCAGGCTGGGAAGACTGAATCTGCAATAGGTAAGCAGCTTGGTTTGAAGAAATCAACTGTGGGAGCAATTATTAGGAAATGGAAGACATACAAGACCACTGATAATCTCCCTCGATCTGGGGCTCCACGCAAGATCTCACCCCGTGGGGTCAAAATGATCACAAGAACGGTGAGCAAAAATCCCAGAACCACACGGGGGGACCTAGTGAATGACCTGCAGAGAGCTGGGACCAAAGTAACAAAGCCTACCTTCAGTAACACACTACGCCGCCAGGGACTCAAATTCTGCAGTGCCAGACGTGTCCCCCTACTTAAGCCAGTACATGTCCAGGCCCGTCTGAAGTTTGCTAGAGTGCATTTGGATGATCCAGAAGAGGATTGGGAGAATGTCATATGGTCAGATGAAACCAAAATATTACTTTTTGGTAAAAACTCAACTCGTCGTGTTTGGAGGACAAAGAATGCTGAGTTGCATCCAAAGAACACCATACCTACTGTGAAGCATGGGGGTGGAAACATCATGCTTTGGGGCTGTTTTTCTGCAAAGGGACCAGGACGACTGATCCGTGTAAAGGAAAGAATGAATGGGGCCATGTATCGTGAGATTTTGAGTGAAAACCTCCTTCCATCAGCAAGGGCATTGAAGATGAAACGTGGCTGGGTCTTTCAGCATGACAATGATCCCAAACACACTGCCCGGGCAACGAAGGAGTGGCTTCATAAGAAGCATTCCAAGGTCCTGGAGTGGCCTAGCCAGTCTCCAGATCTCAACCCCATAGAAAATCTTTGGAGGGAGTTGGAAGTCCGTGTTGCCCAGCGACAGCCCCAAAACATCACTGCTCTAGAGGAGATCTGCATGGAAGAATGGGCCAAAATACCAGCAACAGTGTGTGAAAACCTTGTGAAGACTTACAGAAAACGTTTCACCTGTGTCATTGCCAACAAAGGGTATATAACAAAGTATTGAGAAACGTTTGTTATTGACCAAATACTTATTTTCCACCATAATTTGCAAATAAATTCATAAAAAATCCTACAATGTGATTTTCAGGAATTTTTTTTCTCATTTTGTCTGTCATAGTTGACGTGTACCTATGATGAAAACTACAGGCCTCTCTCATCTTTTTAAGTGGGAGAACTTGCACAATTGGTGGCTGACTAAATACTTTCTTTCCCCACTGTATGTCTAAGCACTAGATGGCTGTAATCTTGTACTGTCAGACAGCCGAGTGATACAGTCCTGAGTGATACAATACTCCATAGATTATTTTCACAGATGCTACGCTGTGGGGCAGGCATAAAGGAGAGGTGTGGCCAGCAGGAGGGATCACTCTGCTCATTGGTCTAGCATGGCTCTGAGGATTAGAGAGTTCCCTTTTAGGTGTGATTAGGGAGATCTGATTGACGTGTCTACATGCAACTAGGAAAGTCTACCCTTGTTTCTATGTAATGTCGTTGCCCTTCAAATAATCAAATAGAGTAATGCAATTGGAGCATTTTACTGTTGAAATTGGGAGGATTTTGTGTATATGTTACTGTTATATGCAGTCATGCACACACGCAATGTATTTCTAGGGTAACATGCCCTGTATCTACAAGTTAGCTCTACCTATACTTAGCTATCTGCTTCTCTGGCTAGAAACAACTGTGAATCAACTGTAACAGACAAAGAATCAGCCCTATTGACAGAGATTGAGCTTAATGTGACTGGCTATATATATATATATATATATATATATATATATATATATATATATATATATATATATATATATATGTTTATGACCAGTGTACAACCCATGTAGACAATGTTTATGGAGTAGGTCAGGAAGGGAGGGACAGCTGAACCAAGCCCACCATAAACACCATATAAACCCGACAGAATAACACAAGTTTGTTTATTAAGCTTGTCAACATCATGGTCGTCAGGGTGTTTACTGTGTTCTAGTGATAATTATCTTATTGTGTTTGTGACTCAGATGGCAGACTGTGGAAAAGCCAAGTTATCAGATGGTTTCTCTTTTAGAGACGAACATGATGGGTAATGTCTCTGGGAGGAAGGATGAAGATTAAACACACCTCTAGTCCAGGAGTGGATAATATGTGTCATATGGAACATTCTGGGCTCCTTATAGTGTGGCATTCAGACAATGTTTTATAGTTATTCATGGCTGTTAAAAATGTACTGTACTCTTGCAAAAGCTAACATAACTTATCATCAAATTGAAGCACACATTTCAGACGGCAGTCATTGTTAGATATTCTACTAAAATCTGAGTTGCAGAGACTGGTATATAAACACAATACCATCACATGGTATATAATATAACCACCATGGTACATGCAGTTGAACATGCAAAGGCACACACATATTATTAGTATAAATAGCAAAAGTCACAACATAACTTTAAAACACATGCTGCTATTGACACTATCATACAAAGTTAAAAATTCCATGTTCTGCATGTAAACATAACTCCTACCTTCCCTCTCTGTTTCTCTGTCTACCAGTTATACATTTAGAGAAGCGTTTGATACACAAGCTACTGCACAGAAAAACGAATACATAACACAATTAAAACATCAACATTTATAATTGCAAATATAAAAATCAATTAGCTAATATATAAATAACATTGTCTTGCAGATATTGCCAAGTCTTAACTATGGTTAGCATCATCACCCGAGAACCAAGAAACCCATGTTAGCAGACACATTAGTAAACCCATACACCACACCCCAAACTCTATTAGAAAAGAAAACAGTGCTGCCCCCTGTAGCCCAGAAGGTGCCACTACAAACAGAGCCCCATGCTCCTCTGATGCCCACCTCCAAACTCTGCCTGTCTGTCGACTGGCCTGTCTGTCTGGCCTGCCATGGTCCTGAGGGCTGTGAGCTCAGCCTGGGCATCCCTCTCCCTCCTCAGGGCCAGACGCAGCTCATCCTGCAGGGCCTGGAAGTTCTGGCTGGTCCCCTGGAGGTCTGGACCCTGGAGGCCTAGCTGAGACCCGTAGGCCTGGGAGCCAGAGGTTAGCTGTCTGCGGAGCTCCTGGAGACGTTCAGTTTGCTCACTCATCACCTCACCCAGACGACCTGCCGAGTCCTGGACGAGAGAGGGGGAGGGGGAGGAGACGGGAGGGAGGGGGAGGAGATGGGAGGGAGGGGGAGGGAAAGGATAGAGATTTTGGGGGATTCAAAGATCTGACTCAATACAGCTTCTTCATGGAAAAAACTCTCTCCCTCTCTATTCTCTCTTCTGTACTGGGGAACTGTAAGACCCTACCACAGTTCTCAGGTCATTTGGGTTGTATTACCTGGATGTACTGGTCCCTGGTGTTGATGGTGTTGAGCAGGTCCTGAACCAGTGTGTGGTGCTCCTGGGCCTGGCGGCTACGGTCGGACAGCAGTTCCTGGAACAGTTTCTCCTTCAGAGAGAGGCGAGCCTTCAGCTCCTCCACCACCTCACTGGGACCTGCCTTCACCTTACCTAGCAGGGCTCCAGTCAGGTCCTGGGAGGAGGGAGGGAGAGGGAGAGGGAGAGAGAGAAATAAATCATATATATAATTTAATAATTGTAGTGTGAAGAATCACAGAGAAATAGTTTTTCTATATTCTGTTCATTCGACAGATAAGCTCCAATCCTTATTTCTCGTTCAAATACTGTGTCCATGTCTACTGTGTCCATGTCTACTGTGTCCATGTCTACTGTGTCCATGTCTACTGTATCCATGTCTACCGTGTCCATGTCTACCGTGTCCATGTCTACTGTGTCCATGTCTACTGTGTCCATGTCTACTGTGTCCATGTCTACTGTGTCCATGTCTACAGTGTCCATGTCTACTGTGTCCATGTCTACTGTGTCCATGTCTACTGTGTCCATGTCTACAGTGTCCATGTTTACTGTGTCCATGTCTACTGTGTCCATGTTCTGACTTTTGGGGTGTCCCATGTCTACAGTGTCCATGTCTACTGTGCCCACTGTCTACAGTGTCATGTCTACTGTGTCCATGTCTACTGTGTCCATGTCTACTGTGTCCATGTCTACAGTGTCCATGTCTACTGTGTCCATGTCTACGGCTGTCAGTCTACATGTCTACAGTTGTCCATGTCTACAGTGTCCATGTCTACTGTGTCCATGTCTACTGTGTCCATGTCTACTGTGTCCATGTCTACAGTGTCCATGTCTACTGTGTCCATGTCTACTGTGTCCATGTCTACTGTGTCCATGTCTACTGTGTTCATGTCTACCGTGTCCATGTCTACTGTGTCCATGTCTACTGTGTCCATGTCTACTGTGTCCATGTCTACTGTGTCCATGTCCACAGTGTCCATGTCTACTGTGTCCATGTCCATGTCTACTGTGTCCATGTCTACTGTGTCCATGTCTACTGTGTCCATGTCTACTGTGTCCATGTCCACAGTGTCCATGTCTACTGTGTCCATGTCCATGTCTACTGTGTCCATGTCTACAGTGTCCATGTCTACTGTGTCCATGTCTACTGTGTCCATGTCCATGTCTACTGTGTCCATGTCTACTGTGTCCATGTCTACTGTGTCCATGTCTACTGTGTCCATGTCTACTGTGTCCATGTCCATGTCTACAGTGTCCATGTCTACTGTGTCCATGTCTACTGTGTCCATGTCTACCGTGTCCATGTCTACTGTGTCCATGTCTACTGTGTCCATGTCTACTGTGTCCATGTCCACAGTGTCCATGTCTACTGTGTCCATGTCTACCGTGTCCATGTCTACTGTGTCCATGTCTACTGTGTCCATGTCTACAGTGTCCATGTCTACTGTGTCCATGTCTACAGTGTCCATGTCTACCGTGTCCATGTCTACTGTGTCCATGTCTACTGTGTCCATGTCTACAGTGTCCATGTCTACTGTGTCTTACCTCAGCCTCCTTGGTGCGTGTGTGCAGGGCGTTCTGTAGCTGGCTGATGAGTGTGTCTCTCTCTCTCAAGCTGCGGCTGTGTCTCTCCTCACTGTCTGCGTGATGGCACTGTACACTCCTCCACGCCTCACACACCTGCTCCTGCTCCAGACCTTTCCCACGCACCAGCACCTCCAGACTCTTTAACACACACACACACACACACACACATAGAGAAATATATAACAAATTCAGTAACCAGTGTGTGTGTGTGTGTGCGTGTATGCCTGTGTGTTGTGTGTGTGTTTATATTAGTGTGGTGTGTGTGTGTGTGTGTGTGTGTGTTTATATTAGTGTGGTGTGTGTATGTGTGTGTGTTTATATTAGTGTGGTGTGTGTGTGTGTGTTTATATTAGTGTTGTGTGTGTGTGTGTGTGTTTATGCTAGTGTGGTGTGTGTGTGTGTGTTTATTTTAGTGTGGTGTGTGTTTGTGTTAATCAGTACCATGATGGTCTCTTCGTTGTTGGACAGTACACAACGTTGTCTCTCCAGGTCTCTCTCCTTCTCTCTCAGCAGTAGCTGTAGCTGGCGCAGCTCTCCCTCCTTCTCCTCCACACAGCGGAACTTCTCATCTACTGCTCGCTGATGGGAGGGAACATAATGAAATAGAACAATATAACGCGTCTCTATGGGAACACAGCTGTCAATCACTGCTATCATGCCCTGCTGTATCATGAGTTTGATGTAATAGCTGCAGTTGTTGTTCTTCGGGGTTCAACTCTGGTAGAGAATGTGTCTCACCTCCAGTGCTCTGTCTCTCTCCTTGATGCGCTCTTTCAGTTTGGTGAGGAGAGAATCCCTCTTGTCCCTGGGCTCCTGCTGCTGGTCCAACAACTCTGAGTACTCCTGAGAGACAGGGACAGGGTTGCGTGAGGGAGTGTGTGTGTGTGTGTGTGTGTGTGTGTGTGTGTGTGTGTGTGTGTGTGTGTGTGTGTGTGTGTGTCTCTGTGTGTCTGACCTGCACAAGCTGCGTTTTGCTCTGAAGCGAGGTCCTCAGCTCTCTGATGGTCTTCTCCATCTCCTCCTCCTCTCTCAGTCTCTCTCCCTCCTTTTCTTTCAGCTGTTCCTTTCTCTGCTGCAGCTCGGAGCGAACTTTCTCCAGCGCCAGATGCAAGTCCTAAAGGAGACAGGTAGCATCACACAGTCAGTCGCATACAAACACACACATGTTTACACACAAGCAAATACACAAACCTGGTTGTGTCTGTCAGTGCTGTGTCTGTGCTCCATGGCCCCCTGCAGGTCTTGCTCCAGGCGGGTCAGGGCTCTGGTCAGGTCCTCCTCCCTCCTGGTAGCCTGCCGCTGGGCCCTCTGGCCTGCCTGCAGCTCCAGCTGGGCCTGGAACAGAGAGCCCTGGAGGGCCAGCGCCTTCCCCTGCCCTCGCATTGACTCCGCCCCAGACACCTGCAGAGGAAAAGAAGGGGTGGGGTGGAGGGAAAGCCAGAAAGAGTGACGGGGTATACAGAGGACGCCTTCAGAGAGCTTTTTATTAGATCTAGTGTGCTGTGAGCAGGGGTCAGCTGTGCTCTTTCTGTATACCCCGTCACTCTTTCTGGCTTTACTACCAGAACCCATTGTCATTATAAAACACTAACTGTTAAGGATTTTTAAATAGTGGGTGTTTTCCAGTGTAGATTACGGCATAGTGTATACCACAGGAGGCTGCTGAGGGGAGAACGGGCTCATAATAATGGCCAGAACGGAGCAAATGGAATGACATCAAACACTTGGAAACCATGTGTTTGATGTATTTGATACCATTCCACTATTCCGCTCCAGTCATTACCACGAGCCCGTCCTCCCCAATAATGAAGGTGCCACCAGCCTCCTGTGCTCTATACGGAGTGTCTAAGTGCGTCAGCTGCTGATTTTATTCAGGGCATTTTGGTGTGATTGACCTGTAGAGTCTGGAGCTGGTTCCTGTTGGCCAGCTCTTTGAGAGAACACAGCATGTTGTTCTGTTCCTCTATGACCCGGTATAACTCTGCTGCCTGAGAGAGACACACAAAACACAAGTACCTTATAACTAACCTATTGTTCATCAGTGGTGGAAAGAAATACATTGAGTGGCATGCAGAATCCTTTTTGTCAATATATTTTCTTGCCTCCCTCCCTCCCTCCATCTCCCTCCCTCCCTCCGTCTCCATCCCTCCCTCCGTCTCCATACCTCCATCTCCCTCCCTCCCTCCATCTCCCTCCCTCCCTCCGTCTCCATACCTCCCTCCCTCCCTCCGTCTCCATCCCTCCCTCCCTCCCTCCATCTCCCTCCCTCCCTCCGTCTCCATACCTCCCTCCATCCCTCCGTACCTCAGTCTCCTTGCTGTTGACAGTGTCAGTGAGGTTGAGGACGTTTCGTTCCTGTCTCTGTGCCTCCTCTCTGACCAAGCGCAGCTCACACTCCATGTCCCCCAGTTGCACCTGCAGCTTCTACACGACACAGTCACGGACACGTCAGAGCCAGGCAAAACATTATATAGAATATAACAGTTCACAAATGATGTAATCATGTTTATAAATACTTTATAAACAGGCCTTTAATTCAAATGTTCAATTTTGATTTTATTTTTTAAAACATTGAATACATAGTATACTTAGTAATGTAAAAATAGGAAGAGCTACAGAAATGTTGAGTGTCTGAGGGGGCCGTGGTACCTGGTTCCTGGCCTCGCTCTCTCTGATCTTGGCCTGTAGAGAGTGGACCTGTAGCTGAGCCTTCAGGAGCTCACCAACACAGTGACCTGCAGCACTCTCGTACTGGGACAACTGGCCCTGCTGCTCATCTAGCAGTTTCTGAAACACCACACAACACACACAGAGGTCCAGGTTAACACACACACACACACATACACCACACACACACACAGAGGTCTAGGTTAATACATAGAAGTACACACACACACACACACACACACTTCCCATGCAGCTGTGTGTGAGAGTGGAAAGTGATGAGGTCAGCTAGCTCGCTGCTCGATCACTTCCTGAGGAAGAATTCCCTGTTTCCACGGCAGCGTGGTGTTTATTTCCTGTTTGTTGTTTTTCAGATGTACAGATACAGATTGATCTGTACAACCACCCAGCCTGTTGGGGTTTAAAATAAACCACAACTCCAGGGTTCCATCTAAGAAGGGCTATCTTTCTGATTGTGAGGGACTATTTTGGTCTGTATGGTCTCTAATAGCCACCGGCTCTTTAGACTTTCACCTGGGATATGCGTGATAACATCTGCTCCCACATACTGTCCTGTAAACTCATTACTGGTAGGACACACACACATACATACACAGAGGACTCAAGCTGGGCTCTAATGACTGGATGCTGTTCCATGGGCTTAGTGAATCAACAACCCAGTAAACTCCCTGAGTCATGCTTATCAACATACCATTATTTCAGAGTATGGGTAGACTCATTCCTAGCCATGTGTCTACACTATGAGCCTGACAGACGAGGCCAGCAACTGGATAACTATTAACATGACAAAGAGCCTGTCTAACACGAGGCATCGTTGTTCATATAGCAACCGCTGCCATGGCTACGGCCATGTTGCTAGGATAGCGATGAGAGTGGTAATCAAAGGGGCCAGCTGTGTTCAGCTGTGTGATTGGCGGATGGCTTATGGGATGACTAAAACAGCCAATCAAATACAGCCAAAAGCCTTGGCCTTCTTCATTCATATTAAATAATAGACATTGAAACTGCAGATTAGCTGGAGAGGATCCATCTCAACTGCAATATCACAGCCTATGTGGACATTCTACAAATCACTAGGGGAAATCTGGCAGAATTAAGCTCTATCCAGGGCCAGGCCTATAGAAGCTGATCTCCTCCCCAATCCAAGCTCCTTAATCTGGGTTTGGTAGTTCCAGTGTGTCTGGGGCTGGTGATGGTCCTGCTAGCTACCTGCTGGAAGCGGAAGGGCCCACACTGCACATAGTCATCCAGCCACTGCTCCTCCATCTCTGACAGCTCTGTCTGCAGCTCCTGCTGACTGCTGGGGGTCACCAGATCTGGGATGGCAGGGTGGGAGTAGAGGTAATACTCTGGGGTCCTGAGGGACAGGGGGAGACCCGTCTCCAGTTTGGGTTTAACTAGGATAGGGAGCTTGCTGCCTTGAGGGGACTTTAGAGGTCTGTACTCGCAGTTCCTCACTAGACTTAGAGCCAGCTCCAGGGTCAACCCAGAGACTGACCTGTCCCTGGGGGCCTCATCCCACTGGAGGTGGGGGTCCCTTCTCTGAGCCCTCCCTGGCTCTTTCTCTCCTCTCTCTCTCTCCTCTTCCTCTCGGTGGGCGGCGCAGGGCCGAGCCACGTCCACGGCTGTGTCCAGAGATTCTACCGACGTGCCCGGGCTGAGGGTCATCCTCTCTGGGTCCCCGTCACACAGCGTCCTGTCGCTCTCTGGTTCCATGGGAGGGGACTCGGAGGGGACAGGCGTGGACTCTGACCCTGTGGAGGTCTCCTCGCCCCCCATGGTGCTGCCTGAGTACCGGGTAGAGGGTCCACAAGACGTGCTCCTCCTGCCCACCCGCCGAGGGACCTTACACACAGCCTCGTAGTCAGAATCGGCCACACGGAGAGCGGCGCATCCCCTGCACCGCCTGGAGCGATGCCCAGAGAGAGTCTCTGATCCTGGGCACTGAGGGTGATGATGCTGGGTGTGGTGCTGGTGCTGGGGCTCTGGGGCTGGGCTCTGTTGGTCCTCGTGGTCGGCCCAGGACTCGTACACAGAGTAGGCCAGGTCGTCCTGGAGCAGGGCGCTGTACCTGGCCTCCTGCAGGGCTGAGAGGTCCACCACTGGGGAGTCACCCTCAGACCGCCCACCACCCTCTGTCCCTCGTTCCCCAGTACCCACCAGCCCCATCCCCATCCCAGTCTGATCCGGGGTCTGGTCCTCAGTATTGTTCTTCCGGTAGAGGCCTCCTATACACTGTCTAAGCCGGTCCTTCTCCAGCAGCAGCTTGTGCAGGCGCTCCAGGGACAGGGCCTCCACACGGGCGATCACCGTGTCGAAACGGTACATGCGGTCCAGCATGAAGGTACATTTGGAGCAGGCGAACTCCCCACGGCCATCGCGGGTCAGCTCTATGCCCAGAGCGTGGGACAGCAGCACCTGCAGGTTGAGTTTGGAGGCGGGATGGAAGATCCATCGCCGTTGGTTACCGCAGAGCTCACGGGCACAGATTCGACACAGCTCCTTCATTTTGAAGTCCAACATCACAGATAATTTCTGCTCTCAGTTTTACTGGGGGGGAATTGTGTCTGTTCAGATTGCTCAGGCAATAAAATAAAGTGTCTTGTACCAGCAGGTTGGAGGTATCAATAATCCATCAATAAATCAATTGATTGAAATTATTTAGCTGTGCAATGTTCATGTAGTTTTCTTCAATGTGCTGCTTTCGCAACAGCTAATGGGGATCCTAATAAAATACCAAAATACCTAAATGTATTAAAAAAGTTATCTTCAAAATAAACTGGTCAATAGTAGCCTAATACATTAGACCAGTGCATTGTGCCATTTTGCTGTTGGTAAAAACTCATCGTTGTTGCATCCTCGATGAAGAGCGGCATCACTGAAACGGGGTACCATCGCATTGCAGTGCTTTTGAAGGGGCGCAATGATTTCTATATCAGCGCGATAATTTCTATTCAATGTCATCTAAAGAATATAGACTGTAATCAAACATAGTCAATATGGAATATAATAAGGAAGAGACGTCTTTCATTTGTGATGAGCGCAGATAAAAAATCCAGTGTGGTTGTCGTTGTCACAATGTCACTGTCTGCTGCAGGGACTGCAGCGCTTTCAGTTCGTCAATGTTACAAAATGTAATCAAGCAGATATACATTACATTAATCCCGTTTCCAGAATCAAACAAAAGATGTCACGGAATTTTTTTTCACTGCCGAAATGTCGATGTAATCTCATATTTTTTTACAGGGCTAATCCAAGACAACAAAATGATAGTTCCACTGTCTCATCGCCGTAATCCGACACGAACACGGAATTCACCACCCGAAACGAAAAGACAGTAGCAGAGACGTCCTTATAAAAAAGACGTCGTTGTCCCGTTATTTTTCGGCTCCATGATAGCAGTTCACCGGACGGTGTGATGAGGAAGGGAGAGGATGGAACGGGAGGGTTGAGTTCCACGGGTTTTAACGTGCATAGCCTATTAGCCTAGGTAGGCTACCGAACAGGGCGAGATGGCAACGTTGACAGAAATTCAACCACACTGGACAACCTGGTCTCAGAGTATTTCGTATTATTCTGTACATAAATCCGAGAGAACACCATTTAGTATATGTTATGTTTCATATGGTATGTATTAATTTGTGATTCCAATTCGTATGATATGTTTCGAAATGCAATTCGTACAATATTCACAAATTTGCAAAACGTATGATATGTTACAAATTCCAATTTGGTGTTGCTAACGTTAGCTAGGTGGCTAACGTTAGCAAGGCTAAGGTTAGGGTTAAGGTTAGGAGTTAGGTTAAAGGGTTAGGATTAGGGGAAGGGTTAGCTAAAACGGTTAAGGTTAGGTTTAGGGGAAGGGTTATCTAACATGCTAAGTAGTTGCAAAGTAGCTAAAAAATAGTTAGTACTAGCAAGGTTGCTAATGATCTAAAATGTTAAAGTTGTCTGTAATGAGATTCGAACACGCAACCTTTGGGTTTCTAGACGTTCGCATTAAACGTCCATTCATCCACTCTGACCTCAAGTAACCTTCTGTCTTATGTATCTCAACTGGTTTACCTGGTTAAATAAAGGTGAAAAAAATATATAAAAAAATAATAATAATGTAACCATACCAAATGTAACATATCATTCTAATTTCAGTGTCCCGGATTTACGTGTACTATGTTACGTCTAGTCTATGAGACCAGGCTGCACTGGAAGGTACCATTTCATTGAAACAGGGATGATAGATTCCTCCTGAGCATAAGGCCTACCTGCCTGACAGTCTAAAAACATCACATTATGTAACAATTACACCATATGGAGTTCACTATATACTTTCCTCCCAAATACATTTATCTTATTATTCCTTTAGATCCTCCTGTCACGTATTTTCTTTATAGATATTCATAAGATAGATAAGGTGGAAATTACGATAGGCCTAAAAAGAATGCCAATAGAGATATTCACTATCTGTTTTATGACAAAAGCCATATCCCATTATGTCCTGTTATTATAATGCATAATAGAAATATGAATGCATAGCCTAATATAATATAACATCTAAAGAAGTTAGTTTCTGAGCTGTTCAACTGTGTGTGTTTGTGTGTGTGTGTGTGTGTGTGTGTGTGCGGGTGTGCTGGTGTCACTGCTTGAAACTTAGAATTAGGCCACCTTTTCATGTTCATTTTGTGACGGCCCTGAATATTTCTGAACCGTCTCAAGGCTTCTCCTTCTAATAGGGCGCTTCCCCTTTAATTCCCCATTAAATAGCCAGCATCAGCTGCGCAAAAAGAAAGTGGTGATTGAGACCTGAATGAGGATGTGTACTACCTTCAGTTCATGAAGCTTCGCCATTACGTTTGTTTTGTGGCCTTACAGTGTGTTTTGTGGCCTTAAAGCGAGCTTACCCAGGATTGGATCCACTCTGTGCGTCTGTGGATTACAACTCTCCGTTGGTTTTCGTGGCCTTTCCTCCGCTGGAGGGCTGTTGACGGATTGTCTGACTGACCGACTGACTACAACTTTTTGTATACGGTATTTCATTTGTTTGGGGTGATGTATACTGTGATTTATGTAGTTGTGAGGACGTATTATTCTTTGGGTAGTCTTTGATACGCTTTATAGTTGTGTTACAAAATAAGTGTTATTTTGAGTGTATGAATATACTGGGTTTATGCTACGGACAAGCGTTGCGGGACTAAGGGCACTTGAGCCACGGAACTTATTTACCGGGCTGGACTCTTTTTATGCCCGAGGTACAGGACATTTCTAAATGAACATAAGTGCATTGATTTGTTATATTGTTGTGTGTGGGTGGGTGTGATCATTTATGTTGTGAATACAACCAAGCAAAAGAATACACTTGTTTGAAGTTCTTTCCAAGGTTTTAAGGGGTTTATGAAAAGTATATTTCCATCTTGACTTTTACCTAAGTCCTTTGTATTGGTGTGACTTGACGGACCAGATGGGACTCATTCCCTCCCGAACTAAAAGGAGAAACCCATGCTTTCTCTGGTAGGCACAACCTACCTGGCACCCCTATAAATACCTCAAGTCAAAACCGTTACATAAAAAATGGCACCCCAGATGGGACTTGAACCCACAATCTCTGGCTTAGGAAGAACTCCTTGCCACATTGAGGAATGTGTTGCATGGGACAGCTCGAGACTGGTGGGATGTGGCACGTCTCACCACTACCTCCTGGGCTGACTTTGAGGCCAAGTTTTCCTCTGCATTTCTGTCTGAGGACTACACAGATGAGCTGGCAGACAGAGTCAGGAATCGAGTGCAAAGGGAGAATGAGAATATTCGTGACTTTGCATACGGTTACCACTCCCTGTGCAGAAGGTGGAAACCTGGCATTGAGGAGGAAGAGGTCATTAAGTTGATCTTGAAGAACATCAACCCACTACTAGCCAGTCAACTCAGAGAAAGAGTCACCACTGTCGATGGACTGGTTCGCCTGGGACAGCAGTTCGAGAAGGACAGAGAATGCCAACAGCAATATGAACAGAGAAAGAAACAGACACCCAGACAGTTACCCAAGCCAGATCATCAACCACAGCCAGAGTCTCCAGCCAAGACCCCTCCCATGTTCTGTTGGAGATGTAGCCAAAAGGGACATTCTTCAGCTACATGTCCAAGACCGTATCAAGTAAACCCTTCCAGAAACCACAAATCACAACAGGCCAACACCCCTAACACACTTCGCAGGAACGACCATCCTACTCTGGGTGCTTTGACCAGAGCTGAAACCTCAAGAGTCACTGCCTACGCCCCCCCGCCGACATCCCCTTCCTTTCAGTTAATACCACACCAGCTGGTGTTACCCCTGTCCATAGGCTCATGGACAGGAAGAGCCATCCTGGACACCGGGTCATCCTACACACTGCTCAATGAGAAACTGTGGAAGGAGGTTGAAGGTCCAAAATACAACTTGAAGCCGTGGACAGAAGGTCCACTGTATCTGGCTGACGGTGCGGCTAAACGACCACTTGGATGGAGTGAGGTGGAGTTCCGCCTGTGTAACCGCTCCTATATGATTCCTTCGGTTATCCTGCAAACCAAGAACCTTGCTTTTCCTGTCGTGTTGGGAATTGATTTCATGTACTTCAGTGGTGTCCAGATTGATATCGCACACAATTGCTACTGGTTTCCAAACAATCCGAGCAAGAAGCATTTCTTCCAATCAGAAGTTACAAAGTTACATGATTGGGGTCTAAATGTGGCAGTCTTCTCTGCCGTTGCTACGGTACCACTAACCCTGGATAATCCTTCTGAGTATCTCCTTTTACAGGCTGTAAGAAGAGCTCAGCTGGAACAGCCAGAGGAGTTAAGGCTGTTGGAACAGTTGCAGAATAATGCCGATGTGTGTACTTCAAAGTTAGGACGCACCGGACTCCTGAAGCACAAAATATTCCTTACACAGGAAATGCCGATCAAGCAAAAGCCATATCGTTTGTCCCCAGCGAAGCTAATCATCCAAAAGGGACTCATTAATGATATGTTGACACAAGATATAATAGAACGTTCCTCCTCTCCCTGGGCTGCTCCTGTTGTCCTCATTCCAAAAAAGACCGGTGGTCTTAGATTTTGTGTGGACTATAGGAAGACCAACAATGTTTCCCAGACTGATGCCTATCCTCTTCCCACCATCCACGAGATCCTGGAGTCATTGTCTGGCGCGGTTGTGTTCACTACCCTTGACCTCAATAGTGGCTATTGGCAGGTTGAGATGGACCAGGAAAGCAAGGACAAGACTGCTTTTGTCTGTGCTGAGGGCTTGTTTTCCTTTAAGGTGATGCCTTTTGGATTAAAGAATGCACCTGCCACTTTCCAAAGACTCATGGAGATTGCGTTAGGTGGGCTCAAAGGGAAGATATGTTTCGTCTACCTGGACGATATAATTATCTACTCCCAGAACAGAGAGCAACACTTTCAAGACCTTCAAGCAGTGTTGGACAAGCTAAGAGAAGCTGGTCTGACAGTGAACATGAAGAAGAGCAACTTCTGCCAAACCTCCCTGAAGTTCCTTGGCCATATTGTGTCTTGTGATGGTATTCATGTGGATCCTGAAAAGACCAAGGCTGTACAAGACTTCCCTGTGCCAACCACACTCAAGGCCCTTCAACGGTTCCTTGGGATGGCTGGATGGTACCATCGGTTTGTGTGGAACTTCTCCCAGGTGGCAGAACCCCTCAACGGGTTGAAGCGAAAAGGAGCGAAATTCCGATGGACGGCAGAGTGCCAGAACTCCTTTGAAACCCTGAAACGACACCTCGTCACCCCTCCCATTTTGGGTCATCCCAACTTTGATTTCCCTTTTGTTGTTTACACTGATGCAAGTGATGTTGGACTTGGTGCTGTCCTAGTCCAACAGACTGGACTTGGTACTGAAGAAGTGCTAGCGTTCGCCAGTCGGACATTGAATGGAGCCGAACGGAACTACTCCACAACCGAGCAAGAGTGCCTTGCAGTTGTCTGGGCTTTGGAAAAGTGGAGGTACTACCTGGAGGGAAGACACTTCACTGTGGTCACTGACCATTCCTCCCTTGTGTGGGTGTTCAAGACCAACAAACCAAGCACCAGGCTCATCAGATGGGCTCTACGGTTGCAAGAGTTCACCTTTGCCGTAGAATACAGGAAAGGAAAATACAACACTGTTCCAGATGCCTTATCCAGAGCTCCTGCTTGTGGTAATGGTGGCCCTCATCTTACATGTGCTACTGTCCTGTCTAGCAGTCGAGACTCACCCAAAACTGACTTGCCCATCTCTGATGAGGTCATTTGGAAAGCCCAACAGGATGATCCCGAAGTACAGGCTTTGTACCAGACTATCCTGGAAGATGAAGAAAAGATGGTCAACCCTACCACAAAGCTGACCATCATTGAAGACAAAGTCTACCGAGTTGTACAACTACCTCACAGAACACTCTACCAAATATACATACCTGAAACTCTACGCCTTCAACTGCTTCAACATTTCCATGAAGACCCATTAGCTGGTCATTTGGGCAGGTTCAAAACCTACAAACGTTTGCAAGCATTACTGTACTGGCCACATCTGAGCATGGATGTGAAATCACATATCCGAAAATGTCAGGTTTGTCAAATGTACAAACCAGAAGGTAGAAAACCTGCTGGCAAGTTGCAGCAAACTGTGGTTACCCGACCTTGGGAAATGTTAGGAGTGGATTTGATGGGTCCATTTCCTAGAAGCTCCAATCAGAATGTGTACATGCTTGTTTTTGTTGATTACTATTCCAAGTGGGTTGAGCTCTTTGCCCTGCGTCAGGCCACAGCGAGGACCGTCTCTAACATCCTTACGAGAGAGATCCTGACTCGCTGGGGAGTGCCTGATTACATTCTGTCTGATCGAGGTTCCCAATTTGTCTCTGATCTCTTTGGAGAGACCTGCCAAAGATGGAACCTGAGACAGAAGTTGACCACAGCCTATCACCCACAGACCAACCTCACTGAGAGAGTAAATCGAACCTTGAAGACCATGGTTGCTTCCTATGTAGGGACCCAGCACAAACACTGGGACAAGCACCTTCACGAGTTTCGATTTGCCCTGAATTCTGCTGTGCAAGAGTCCACTGGAGTCACACCTGCAGAGCTGAACCTAAGTCGTCTCCTCCGAGGACCCTTGGATATGGTGCTACAGCCCCAGCAGCTTACTCCAGACGCTGCTTGCTATGACCAGGTAGTCCATCTCCACGACTTGAGAGCTCTTGTCTCAAGGAACATGATCCAGGCTCGACTCAAGCAGAAGAGAAATTATGATAAGAACAGACGAGACCTGCAGTTCCAGCTTCGTGATCGGGTGTGGCTTCGCTCTCATCCTTACTCGAAAGCTGAACAATTCTTCTCGGCCAAGCTCGCTCCTAAATGGCAAGGACCATATAGGATTGTGGAGCAGGTGGGCCCTTTGAACTACCGAGTGGTGAAAGAGGACACAGGTGAAGATATGCGCGTTGTCCATGTCTCACGCCTTAAGGCCTGTTACCCCTCGGCTGAGGAATTGGAGGAGATTGAGCGCCGCAAGGTCCTGGAGATCTTTGAAGAGGAAAGTAAGGAGACTTTTCTCGGATTCCCAGACCCAGAAGTCTCACGGCTTAATGCCTGTGACCCCTCAGCTGAGGAGCATGAGCGCCAAAAAGTAATGAATATTTTTGTAGAGGAAAGTGATGAGGAGACCTTTCTCGGTTTCCCCGACCAAAATTTGCCTTCCCGGGCAATGGTCGGCTTTTTCCAGGGGAGGGGGTGTGTGACGGCCCTGAATATTTCTGAACCGTCTCAAGGCTTCTCCTTCTAATAGGGCGCTTCCCCTTTAATTCCCCATTAAATAGCCAGCATCAGCTGCGCAAAAAGAAAGTGGTGATTGAGACCTGAATGAGGATGTGTACTACCTTCAGTTCATGAAGCTTCGCCATTACGTTTGTTTTGTGGCCTTACAGTGTGTTTTGTGGCCTTAAAGCGAGCTTACCCAGGATTGGATCCACTCTGTGCGTCTGTGGATTACAACTCTCCGTTGGTTTTCGTGGCCTTTCCTCCGCTGGAGGGCTGTTGACGGATTGTCTGACTGACCGACTGACTACAACTTTTTGTATACGGTATTTCATTTGTTTGGGGTGATGTATACTGTGATTTATGTAGTTGTGAGGACGTATTATTCTTTGGGTAGTCTTTGATACGCTTTATAGTTGTGTTACAAAATAAGTGTTATTTTGAGTGTATGAATATACTGGGTTTATGCTACGGACAAGCGTTGCGGGACTAAGGGCACTTGAGCCACGGAACTTATTTACCGGGCTGGACTCTTTTTATGCCCGAGGTACAGGACATTTCTAAATGAACATAAGTGCATTGATTTGTTATATTGTTGTGTGTGGGTGGGTGTGATCATTTATGTTGTGAATACAACCAAGCAAAAGAATACACTTGTTTGAAGTTCTTTCCAAGGTTTTAAGGGGTTTATGAAAAGTATATTTCCATCTTGACTTTTACCTAAGTCCTTTGTATTGGTGTGACTTGACGGACCAGATGGGACTCATTCCCTCCCGAACTAAAAGGAGAAACCCATGCTTTCTCTGGTAGGCACAACCTACCTGGCACCCCTATAAATACCTCAAGTCAAAACCGTTACAATTTACTTGAAACGTGTCTTTCCACTCTGCTGAAGTCGTAGGCTACTACGTTAGAATGAGTTCATCTGTACCCTGAGGCAGGAAATTTCCCAGCAGCACCCAGGCTTTTGGCCTTCACACAGAGGCCTTCACGTCAGCCAATAACAAGGGGGAATAAGGGGAAGAGGGTCCCTGCTCCCGACCAATCACATAATACTGTGTGATGCACTGATGGGAGTTTAGTCTAAATCCTGCCTCTCAGAACCCCCAGGCTTCCCCGTGCAGTAAGAGCATGAGTCTCCCACACCCAGCACCCGATCTTTCATTACGAGTGTTGTTTATGTTGATATAAAATGATCAGTCCTGATTTGTTTACTCCAGAGGGTGTAGACCTTTGGGAACTCAGTGTACTAACCTCTAATGTACACGTGTCACCCAAAAAGCTCTAATAAATGAATCCTGGAGACGAGACGTCATAACAGCGATCGACCCTAACGATCAACGCAATCAAAACCCTATTAATCCTAATCAGTGGGAATTACCAACATCTCCTTTCTCATTACTCCACTGTTCATTTCTCTGTAAGAGACAGAAATAAAGAGAGTCAAGAAAGGGTGACTAAATACGTTTCCCTTTTGGGGTGTCTCTTTTGTTAGTGTGCCATGTAAACAACTGATTCATTCCTTACGTAATTAAAATTCACTTACATCAGACCGAAGTGCCAAACAGTAATGTGATTGTAATTATAGCTGGCGTGAGTTAGGAGATCCAGTTTAAACGTTGAAATAATGGTGCCTGTGTGTGTGTGTGTGTGTGTGTGTGTGTGTGTGTGTGTGTGTGTGTGTGTGTGTGTGTGTGTGTGTGTGTGTGTGACACATTAACGTGACCCCATCTCTTTGATTAGCTCTGTAACACGTGATGCAAGTAAACAGGAATAGAATAATAGAATACTGTATAAGAAAAAAAATTCGATATGAAATGCAAGTTCCATTACAACCAAACCAGAAAACATTGCATCATTTTCTCACAGTGCCATGGCAACAAGCAATATTGTATAATACAGCTGAATCATAAACCCAGTTAGACATGCTCAATACTGTAGAGGGAGAGATTTTAATGTCGAACAATATTTCTGAGTGACCCAAATGCACCAAGCATTGTGATCCTTATGCATTTGTGTTACAGCATGTGCTGTATGCTTCTGTGTCACAGGAGGCTGGTGGCACCTTAATTGGGGAGGACGGGCTCATAGTAATGACTGGAGCGGAATAAGTGGAATGGTATCAAATACATTAAACACATGGTTTTCAGGTGTTTGATGCCATTCCATTAGCTCCGTTCCGGACATTATTATTTTACATTTGAGTCATTTAGCAGATGCTCTTATCCAGAGCGACTTACAGTTAGTGAATGCATACATTTTTCATACATTATGAGCAGTTCTCCCCTCAGCACCATGTGTGCATGTGCGAATGTGTGTGTATGCAATATGTCCTCTATCTTACATGCAGTTTGCATTGGGTTCCAACAGAGGGCAACCTCCGACCATTTGTCCCTGCGGGGAGCATGGGACGGTTCTCACATACCATTTGTCCCTGCGGGGAGCATGGGACGGTTCTCACATACCATTTGTCCCTGCGGGGAGCATGGGACGGTTCTCACATACCATTTGTCCCTGCGGGGAGCATGGGACGGTTCTCACATATCATTTGTCCCTGCGGGGAGCATAGGACGGTTCTCACATACCATTTGCCTTGCTATCAAACACTGGTCTGGGCAGTGCTGGCTACAGGCCTTGAATTCCATCCCTCATCTCGCAAACTTCAGTTTATCATCATTTACTGCAGCCCACTTCACCAGTGTCTGTGTGTGCATGTTCATGCTCCAAATGCATATGTCAAACCAGTGGAATCATAACCCTTCAGATTCTCACAACAACAGACATAGGATAGGATGGCAGTATTTCTGCCCCACATACCTGCATCTCCTGCTGGACACAGCTCTTCTCCTGACTCATCTCACCCCGCAGCAACTGTGGACAGTAAGGTTGGTCATTTAATAAGTAACGATAAGAAAATCATACTCAATCTGATGTTCCTCAGAAAACAGTGAAAACAAATATATGAATGACAGGATTGCATTGCATGATGTTCTGTGAAAAGGGTTACATTTTCTTAATCAGGATATCATGGATTTCCACTAACCTAGTACATTCTAGGATCAAAAATAGACATGGAGGCACTCATGTGAGTCCTGCTGCATACAATCTATAAACTCCATCTGTGATTCTCCTCATCACGGTGGTGCTGAGGTGTGTTAGCCTAGCCTTGTGACGAGGTGTGCTAGCCTTGTGATGAGGTGTGCTAGCCTAGCCGAGCGATGAGATGTGCTAGCCTTGTGACGAGGTGTGCTAGCCTAGCCTTGTGATGAGGTGTGCTAACCTTGTGTTGAGGTGTGCTAGCCTAGCCTTGTGATGAGGTGTGCTAGCCTTGTGATGAGGTGTGCTAGCCTAGTCTTGTGATGAGGTGTGATAGCCTAGCCTTGTCTTGTGATGAGGTGTGCTAGCCTAGCCGAGCGATGAGATGTGCTAGCCTTGTGACGAGGTGTGCTAGCCTAGCGATGAGGTGTGCTAGCCTAGCGATGAGGTGTGCTAGCCTAGCCTTGTGATGAGGTGTGCTAGTCTAGCCTTGTGATGAGCTGTGCTAGCCTTGTGATGAGGTGTGCTAGTCTAGCCTTGTGATGAGCTGTGCTAGCCTTGTGATGAGGTGTGCTAGCCTAGCCTTGTGATGAGGTGTGATAGCCTAGCCTAGTCTTGTGATGAGGTGTGCTAGTCTAGCGTACAACCGTGGCATCAGGTGCCGGGGTTCCACTGACCTATATACATCAGTATCTCAACCAACCAGACCATCTGGGTTCAGCTGTTCTTGCCATTGGGATGGGGGGAGGGAATGGGAGCAGGGGGAGGAGAGATATGGCTAACCAGTGAAGAGTGTGACCCATATTTCAGTAGCTAGCTGTGAGTACAGTAGATTTGGCCCTTGCGCGCCCAATCAAATATCCGAACCAGTACTAGGACCCCAGTTATAAAACTAAATGTCACCCGGCTTCATATTTGTGGACCGGATATGATTTGTGAGAAGATGTGTGTAGCATCTGTTTCTGTAGTAAATACTGTGTATCATGAAATGTAAATGAACAGTGTGAGAGAGAGAGAGAGAGAGAGAGGCTGATGGGTTGTGTATACCATACATATATAGTAGTTGTGCACGCTAAGTGATCCGGTTTGATCAATTGTGGGGTTTTGTTTACCTCTGCATCCCTGTCTTTCTTCTGGAGGGAAGAGGAGAGGTCGTGAACTCTGACCTCCAGCTCTCCGACCCGGTGGCTCAGCAACCTCCTCTCCTCAGTCAGCTCCTCTATTACTCTGAGAGAGAGAGAGAGAGAGAGAGAGAGAGAGAAGAGAGAGATAGAGAGAGAGAGAGATCGAGAGCAGAGAGAGAGAAGAGAGAGAGGAGAGAGAGAGAGAGAGAGAGAGAGGAGAAGATCTCTCTCTCTCTCTCTCTCTCTCTCTCCTCTCTCCTCTCCTCCTCTCTGCTCTCTTCTCTCTCTCTCTCTCTCTCTCTCTCTCTCTCCTCTCGCTTCCGCTCTCTCTATGATAAGAGAGATTAACAATTTTACCTTTGGCTATAAATTCCAACTTAAATCTCTCCCCAAAGAAACAATTTCCCCTGTGTGCTACCTATATCCCCCCACTAGAATCCCCATACTTTAATGAAGACAGCTTCTCCATCCTGGATGGGGAAATCAATCATTTCCAGACCCAGGGACATGTACTTGTCTGTTGCGACCTAAATGCCAGAACTGGACAAGAACCTGACACCCTCAGCACACAGGGGGACAAACACCTACGTGGAGGTGACAGCATTCCCTCCCCCATATGCCCCCCCTAGGCACAACTACGACAACATAACCAACAAAAACGGGTCACAACTCCTGCAGCTCTGTCGCACACTGGGTATGTACATAGTCAATGGTAGGCTTCGAGGGGACTCCTAAGGTAGGTACACCTATAGCTCATCTCTTGGCAGTAGTACTGTAGACTACTTTATCACTGACCTCAACCCAGAGTCTCTCAGAGCGTACACAGTCAGCCCACTGACACCCCTATCAGACCACAGCAAAATCACATTCTACTTGAACAGAGCAATACTCAATCATGAGGCATCAAAGCCAAAGGAACTGAATAATATGAAGAAATGCTATAGATGGAAGGAAAGTAGTGTCGAAACCTACCAAAAAACAATTATGCAAAAACAAATCTCTTTTAGACAACTTCCTGGACAAAACGTTCCACTGTAATAGTGAAGGTGTAAACTTGGCAGTAGAAAACCTAAACAGTATATTTGACCTCTCAGCTTCCCTATCAAATCTAAAAATCTCTAACAGAAAACCGAAGAAAAGTAACAACAGTGACAAATGGTTTGATGAAGAATGCAAAAACCTGAGAAAGAAATTGAGAAACCTATCCAACCAAAAACATAGAGACCCAGAAAACCTGAGCCTACGCCTTCACTATGGTGAATCACTAAAACAATACAGAAATACAATACAAATACAAAAGAAGGAACAGCATGTCAGAAATCAGCTCAATGTAATTGAAGAATCCATAGACTCTAACCACTTCTGGGAAAATTGGAAAACACTAAACAAACAACAACACGAAGAGCTATCTATCCAAAACTGAGATGTATGGGTAAACCACTTTAACAAAGAACAAACAGCAAAAAAATATATATGATCAAATGCAAATCTTAGAATCAACTATTAAAGACTACCAGAACCCACTGGATTCTCCAATTACACTGAATGAACTACAGGACAAAATTCAAACCCTCCAACCCAAAAAGGCCTGTGGTGTTGATGGTATCCTCAGTGAAATGATAAAATATACAGACCACAAATTCCAATTGGCTATACTTAAACTCTTTAACATCATCCTTAGCTCTGGCATCTTCCTCAATATTTGTAACCAAGGACTGATCACCCCAATCATATTATCAAAATCCAGAAAAGAGCCATTCAATTCTATAACCACTTAAAAGGAAGCGATTCCCAAACCTTCCATAACAAAGCCATCACCTACAGAGAGATGAACTTGGAGAAGAGTCCCCTAAGTAAGCTGGTCCTGGGGCTCTGTTCACAAACACAAACAGACCCCACACAGCCCCAGGCCAACAACAACAACACAATTAGACCCAACCAAATCATGAGAAAACAAAAAGAGAATTACTTGACACATTGGAAAGAATTAACAAAAAAACTGAGCAAACTAGAATGCTATTTGGCTCTAAACAGAGAGTACACAGTGGCAGAATACCTGACTACTGTGACTGACCCAAACTTAAGGAAAGCTTTGACTATGTACAGACTCAGTGAGCATAGCCTGGCTATTGAGAAAGGCCGCCGTAGGCAGACCTGGCTCTCAAGAGAAGACAGGCTATGTGCACACTGCCCACAAAATGAGGTGGAAACTGAGCTGCACTTCCTAACCTCCTGCCAAATGTATGACCATATTAGAGACACATATTTCCCTCAGATTACAGAGATCCACAAAGAATTCGAAAACAAACCCAATTTTGATAAACTCCCTTATCTACTGGGTGAAAAACCACAGTGTGCCATCACAGCAGCAATATTTGTAACCTGTTGCCACAAGAAAAGGGCAACCAGTGAAGAACAAACACCATTGTAAATACAACCCATATTTATGTTTATTTATTTTCCCATTTGTACTTTAACTATTTGCACATTGTTACAACACTGTATATAGACATAATATGACATTTGAAATGTCTTTATTCTTTTGGAACTTCTGAGTGTAATGTTTACTGTTAATATTTATTGTTTATTTCACTTTTGTTTACTATCTACTTCACTTGCTTTGGCAATGTTAACATACGTTTCCCATGCCAATGAAGCCCTTAAATGGAATTGAAATTGAATTGAGAGAGAGAGAGAGAGAGAGAGAGAGAGAGAGAGAGAAAGAGAGAGAGAGAGAGAGAGAGAGAGAGAGAGAGAGAGAGAGAGAGAGGCCAACAACATAAAAGTTCACTATATACAGGTGCAGCTCAATAAATTAGAATATTGTGTAAAAGTAAAGTAATTTCAATAATTCAATTGACAAAGTGAAACTCATATATATTGTGGATTAATTACACAAAAAGTGAAATAGTTCAAGCCTGTATTTGTTTTAATCTTCATGATTACGGCATACAGCTCATGAAAACCCCAAATTCAGTATCTCAGAAAATGAGAACATGACATAAGACCAGTGAAAAAAGGAAATGGAATACAGACATGTCGGCCTTCTGAAAAGTATGTTCTTGTACATGCAGTCAGTACTTGGTTGGGGCTCCTTTTGCATGAATCACTGCATCTATGCGGCGTGGCATGGAGTCGATCAGCCTGTGGCACTGCTGAGGTGTTATGGAAGCCCAGGTTGCTTCGATAGCGCCCTTCAGCTCGTCTGCATTGTTGGGTCTCGTGTCTCTCATCTTCCTCTTGACAATACCCCATAAATTCTCTATGGGGTTCAGATCAGGCGAGTTTGCTGGCCAATCAAGGCGAGTTTGCTGGCCAATCCATTTTTCTTCTCCAGAAAATCACATTGTAGGATTTTTTATGAATTTATTTGCAAATTATGGTGGAAAATAAGTATTTGGTCAATAACAAAAGTTTCTCAATACTTTGTTGTATACCCTTTGTTGGCAATGACACAGGTCAAACGTTTTCTGTAAGTCTTCACAAGGTTTTCACACACTGTTGCTGGTATTTTGGCCCATTCCTCCATGCAGATCTCCTCTAGAGCAGTGATGTTTTGGGGCTGTCGCTGGGCAACATGGACTTTCAACTCCCTCCAAAGATTTTCTATGGGGTTGAGATCTGGAGACTGGCTAGGCCACTCCAGGACCTTGAAATGCTTCTTACGAAGCCACTCCTTCGTTGCCCGGGCGGTGTGTTTGGGATCATTGTCATGCTGAAAGACCCAGCCACGTTTCATCTTCAATGCCCTTGCTGATGGAAGGAGGTTTTCACTCAAAATCTCACGATACATGGCCCCATTCATTCTTTCCTTTACACAGATCAGTCGTCCTGGTCCCTTTGCAGAAAAACAGCCCCAAAGCATGATGTTTCCACCCCCATGCTTCACAGTAGGTATGGTGTTCTTTGGATGCAACTCAGCATTCTTTGTCCTCCAAACACGACGAGTTGAGTTTTTACCAAAAAGTTATATTTTGGTTTCATCTGACCATATGACATTCTCCCAATCCTCTTCTGGATCATCCAAATGCACTCTAGCAAACTTCAGACGGGCTTGGACATGTACTGGCTTAAGCAGGGGGACACGTCTGGCACTGCAGGATTTGAGTCCCTGGCGGCATAGTGTGTTACTGATGGTAGGCTTTGTTACTTTGGTCCCAGCTCTCTGCAGGTCATTCACTAGGTCCCCCTGTGTGGTTCTGGGATTTCTGCTCACCGTTCTTGTGATCATTTTGACCCCACGGGGTGAGATCTTGCGTGGAGCCCCAGATCGAGGGAGATTATCAGTGGTCTTGTATGTCTTCCATTTCCTAATAATTGCTCCCACAGTTGATTTCTTCAAACCAAGCTGCTTACCTATTGCAGATTCAGTCTTCCCAGCCTGGTGCAGGTCTACAATTTTGTTTCTGGTGTCCTTTGACAGCTCTTTGGTCTTGGCCATAGTGGAGTTTGAAGTGTGACTGTTTGAGGTTGTGGACAGGTGTCTTTTATACTGATAACAAGTTCAAACAGGTGCCATTAATACAGGTAACGAGTGGAAGACAGAGGAGCCTCTTAATGAAGAAGTTACAGGTCTGTGAGAGCCAGAAATCTTGCTTGTTTGTAGGTGACCAAATACTTATTTTCCACCATAATTTGCAAATAAATTCATTAAAAATCCTACAATGTGATTTTCTGGAGGAAAAAAATCTCAATTTGTCTGTCATAGTTGACGTGTACCTATGATGAAAAATTCAGGCCTCTCTCATCTTTTTAAGTGGGAGAACTTGCACAATTGGTGGCTGACTAAATACTTTTTTTCCCCACTGTATATGAATTTCACTTTGTCAATTGAATTATTGAAATTACTTAACTTTTCCACAATATTCTAATTTATTGAGCTGCACCTGTAAGCACCACAGAGACTTTAAGGTCATACGGTTGGGCTGAAGCTCCTCATGAAGCAAGTACTGTACTGCACCACCTTTTGGATTGATATGTGACCCCATACCCCTGGTTCAGTAGAGGACAGTAGAGTTGGGCACGACTCTGGCACTGTCATTCTTATCAGTGTGTGAATGACAATGTCATTGTCAATGTGAACAAATGTCAATGTCAGTGCTAATAGGCCTACCAATGCCAATAGGCCTACCAATGCCAATAGGCCTACCAATGCTAATAGGCCTACCAATGCCAATAGGCCTACCAATGCTAATAGACCTACCAATGCTAATTGGCCTACCAATGCCAATAGGCCTACCAATGCTAATAGGCCTACCAATGCTAATAGGCCTACCAATGCCAATAGGCCTACCAATGCCAATAGGCCTACCAATGCCAATAGGCCTACCAATGCCAATAGGCCTACCAATGCTAATAGGCCTACCAATGCCAATGTCAATGTCAATACTAATGTGAGTAGCAGACATACTCAGCTGTATAATATGACCGGTAGGCAGTAGAGGAAGTCTCCTGTATTAAAGCCACACATTACTCTGAGAGAAACACCATACTGACATGCCAGTCATGCCTCAATCACCACCTGTCCTCCGTCCTCACCTCTCCTTCTCTGCCAGGGCCTCCTGCTGCAGCCTGGCTCCTAGTGACCCTCCCTCACACTCCTCCTCGTCCTCCTCCATCTTCCTCATCATCATCCTCTCTCTCTCCAGAACCAGGCAGCGCTGGGACTCTTCCTCTGCCAGAGAGGCCATCTTCTCAGCCCTGCCCCGTGCTAGCTGGACCTCCTGACAACATCACAGCAGAGGAGGAGAGTGGTCATGTCAATAGTTTATTAACATTTAGTTAAGGAGGGTTGTTTACAACACAATGCGTCAGGATTGTGGAGGGGAGATGTGTACAGTATATTTACAATATTATTACTGGAGTACTGTATTGTGGGAGGAGTGGATACATGCAATCAGGATTGAGGAGTGTCAGTGTAATGTAACCACAGCATTTGAAAATGAGTGTGTGTATAAATGTGTGCGTGTACCTCCTGCAGCAACTGGACCTTGGTCTCCAGGATCTCCTGCTGCCTCGCCTCACAGCGACGCTGCAGCTCCTCCTCATTCTGATTGGTCAGGCTCTCAGACGTCGACCTATCAGAGCACACGATCACAGTGATACAGCTTTAGTACCAGAAATATAAAACTCACAGCGCAGAATGAAAATTTCACATCCTGTACATAACATACTGTATGTTCATATAAAAATGATACATGCTTCTGTAGATGTCTGTACTGTTGTACTGCAGGGTATGTCGTTTGCTGTACCCTGTGTATTTTACTATTCCAAAGTTTAAAAGCTAACAACCATTCTCACTGGAGAGTGATAGTGTATTATATAATGTAATCCAGGGACTGAGGCTTGGTCCCTGCTCTCTACATTTATCTTGAATGCGTTGTGGTCCTCTGACAGTTCTCAGTATTACAGCGAGCATCCATTACTGCTCCTCACAGTACAGTTAGAGTTAGCCCGGGGCTACTGCTGCTCTCAAGAGACTGTTGCTCTAACTGCTTTTCCACTTTGGCAATCAGTCAGTCTTTTTATAACTCTAATGACAATCACAGAACTAACCTCTGTTTATTTATGAATCAGAGAGAGAGAGAGCGAGAGGAGGAAGAGAGAGAAGAGAGAGAGAGAGAGAGAGAGAGAGAGCCAGCGAGAGAGAGAGAGAGATAGAGAGAGATAGAGAGAGAGATAGGATAAGAGAGAAGAGAGAGAGAGAGAGACTAGATAGAGAGAGATAGAGAGAGCTAGAGATAGAGATAGAGGAGGGAGAAGAGGAGAGAGGAGATCGAGAGAGAGAGAGAGAGAGAGAGAGAGAGAACACCCCCTGTCCTAAAGGGACTGACCCTGTTCTGTAGCCATTCTCCCCCAGGGCTATAGTGTTGGAGAGATTTCACTGTGTCTTGACAAAGTACTTAATTGATTTATTAAGTAATTCATTATCTGTATACAGTGCTGATGAATAAAAATTGGTAAATAGAACTCCAATAAATTATGTTATGTTTGTGTGGAGGGATCACACCTACATAAACTGTAACTGTCATTTTGATAGTTTTTATAAAAAATGTTCTGATTATAGAATATACCTATTCATTAATTGTACTGAGAAATAACTTTCCTATAACAGAGGAAAAGTCCTGCAAAAAGAAACAACCATTACTTCCAAAAAATATAACAGGTTGATGTTTCCCACAACCGTGTTGACCACCTTTAGATAGCACTAACTCAGACTAGAATAATCTGACCACCTTTAGATAGCACTAACTCAGACTAGAATAATCTTATCCATGTCCTCTATTTGAGGCCTTTACCTAAAATACTGTAAAACCCATAACACCTGTGAGACATAATGTTTAAAATATAAAAAGGACCCCAAGACACTAGAAGGTACACTGAAGGTGTGAGTGTTGTCAGAATGAAAGCTTATGTAGTTCCACTGGTGTTGCTGCTGTGTTTGTCTGGGTCACGGTCTCAGGGAGAGAGGGGGGGGGGGAATGAAGTTCACTATGAGAGCCAGAAGACTTCAGCGTTGACCGACCCACAGACAACCACCACCAAACCTGACATCATCTGGACTGAGCTGAAGGAGCTGAGAGGCATGGTGGTGGAACAGAGAAATTCTATAAGAGCCAGGTGGAGAACCTGAAGATATTGAGCGCAGGTCATTTGTGACAGTCATATTTTCATGTTATCAATTAAGTCTTATATTATTAGTAGCCTAAACCAACTTAGCTGTGAAAAGATACTGACTGAATGTTGTTCTAGCCATGGGGACCAGACTGACAAGCAGTGAGAGAGCGGTGGAGGAACTGAAGAGACAGAATGCAGGTGATAAGACAACGACATCACAACTTATAGACCTCAGTATGGCGTTACAATGATGTTCATTATAAATGTTTTACATGACTGTAATGAGAAGTCAACCCGAGGCACTAAACTATTGTACTGTGTTATGTTTTGCTGGTTGCCTGGGAGACAGACATTTTGGCTGGTTATTTTGCCGTCGTTCAAGTTCACCAGAGTTCAAAGATGTGGCGCTAGTGTGGATCATAGATGTGCCAGAAAAAGGAATTAGAAGTAGGCCTACTACCTTCGGAAACTGTAAAAAATGTGCTCCAGACCCCTACTTTGCCCTGATAATTGTAGCAGTATATTGAAATTTAAAAAGATAGATGCAATGGATAACAGAATAAGATATTTGCTTGATAAGTGCAATGACTAGTCCCAAGCAGTAGCTTTTAGTTGTTTATTCTTCCCCATATTCACAGACAAACCAAAGGTGGCGTTCTTCACTGCTCTGACAGACAATATTCAACTTGGACCATTCAGCACTGAAACTACTCTGACCTACAGCAAAGTCATCACAAACATCAGCAAGGCTTACAACCACTTCACAGGTACAACATCCTTTGCATCCATTTAAGCTATATGATGACAGCTGAAGAAAAATGTACTTGTGAATATATACAGTACCAGTCAAAAGTTTGGACACACCTACTCATTCCATGGTTTTTCTTTATTTTTACTATTTTCTACATTGTAGAATAACAGTGAAGACATCAAAACTATGAAATAACACATATGGAATCATGTAGTAACCAAAGAAGTGGTAAACAAATAAAAATGTATTTTATGTTTGAGATTCTTCAAATAGCCACCCTTTGCCTTGATGACAGCTTTGCACACTCTTGGCATTCTCTCAACCAGCTCCACCTGGAATGCTTTTTCAACAGTCTTGAAGGAGTTCCCACATATGCTGAGCACTTGTTGGCTGCTTTTCCTTCACTCTCTGGTCCGACTCATCCCAAACCATCTCAATTGGGTTGAGGTCAGGGGATTGTGGAGGCCAGGTCATCTGATGCAGCACCCCATGACTCTCCTTCTTGGTAAAATAGCCCTTACACAGCCTGGAGGTGTGTAGTGTCATTCTCCTGTTGAAAAACAAATAATAGTCCCACTAAGCCCAAACCAGATGGGATGGCATATCGCTGCAGAATTCTGTGGTGAAAAGTGTGCCTTGAATTCTAAATAAATCACAGACAGTGTCACCAGCAAAGCATCCCCACACCATAACACCTCCTCCTCCATGCTTTACGGTGGGAAATTCACATGCAGAGATCATCCGCTCACCCACACCGCGTCTCACAAAGACATGGCGGTTGGAACCAGAAATCTCAAATTTTGACTCCAGACCATGTCCATTGCTCGTGTTTCTTGGCCCAAGCAAGTCTCTTCTTCTTACAGTGCCTTGCAAAATTATTCATCCCCTTTGGCTTTTTTCCTATTTTGTTGCATTACAACCTGTAATTTAAATTGATTTTTATTTGGATTTCATGTAATGGACATACACAAAATAGTCCAAACTGGTGATGTGAAATGAAAAAATAAATAACAGAAAAGTGGTGCGTGCATATGTATTCACCCCCTTTACTATGAAGCCCCTAAATAAGATCTGGTGCAACCAATTATCTTCAGAAGTCACATAATTAGTTAAATAAAGTCCACCTGTGTGCAATCTAAGTGTCACATGATCTGTCACATGATCTCAGTATATATACACCTGTTCTGAAAGGCCCCAGAGTCTGCAACACCACTAAGCAAGGGGCACCACCAAGCAAGCGGCACCATGAAGACCAAGGAGCTCTCCAAACAGGTCAGGGACAAAGTTGTGGAGAAGTACAGATCAGGGTTGGGTTATAAAAAAATATCAGAAACTTTGAACATCCCACGGAGCACCATTAAATCCATTATTTAAAAAATTGAAAGAATATGGCACCACAACAAACCTGCCAAGAGAGGGCCACCCACCAAAACTCACGGACCAGGCAAGGAGGGCATTCATCAGAGAGGCAACAAAGAGACCAAAGATAACCCTGAAGGAGCTGCAAAGCTCCACAGTGGAGATTGGAGTATCTGTCCATAGGACCACTTTAAGCCGTACACTCCACAGAGCTGGGCTTTACGGAAGAGTGGCCAGAAAAAAGCCATTGCTTAAAGAAAAAAATAAGCAAACACGTTTGGTGTTCGCCAAAAGGCATGTGGGAGACTCCCCAAACATATGGAAGAAGGTACTCTGGTCAGATGATAAAATTGAGCTTTTTGGCCAACATGGAAAACGCTATGTCTGGCGCAAACCCAACACCTCTCATCACCGCGAGAACATAGTTATGCATGCTCAAGTTTTTTGTTTTTTGTGTTATTTGTTGTATGTTTCACAAACAAATATATTTTGCATCTTCAAAGTGGTAGGCATGTTGTGTAAACCAAATGATACAAACCCCCCCAAAATCAGTAAGGCAACAAAATAGGAGAAATGCCAAGGGGGGTGAATACTTTTGCAAGCCACTGTATTGGTGTCCTTTAGTAGTGGTTTATTTGCAGCAATTCGACCTGCAATTTCTGAGGCTGGTAACTCTAATGAACTTATCCTCTGCAGCAGAGGTAACTCTGGGTCATCCTTTCCTGTGGCAGTCCTCATGAGAGCCAGTTCCATCATAACGCTTGATGTTTTTTGCGACTGCACTTGAAGAAACTTTAAAAGTTATTGAAATGTTCCGCATTGACTGACCTTCATGTCTTAAAGTAATGATGGACTGTCGTTTCTCCTTGCTTATTTGAGCTGTTCTTGCCATAATATGGACTTGGTCTTTTACCAAATAGGGCTATCTTCTGTATACCAACCCTACCTTGTCACAACACAACTGATTGGCTCAAACGCATTAAAAAGGAAAGAAATTCCACAAATTAACTTTTAACAAGGCACACCTGTTAATTGATATGCATTCCAGATGACTACCTCATGAAGCTGGTTGAAAGAATGCCAAGAGTGTGCAAAGCTGGCATCAAGGCAAAAGGTGGCTATTTGAAGAATCTCAAATATAAAATATATTTTGATTTGTTTAACACTTTTTTGGTTACTACATGATTTCATATGTGTTATTTCATAGTTTTGATGTCTTCACTATTATTCTACAATGTAAAAAAAAAGAAGAAAAAAAAAAGAAAAACCCTTGAATGAGTAAGTGTGTCCAAACTTTTGACTGGTAGTGTAAATATGTATTTCCTGATACAGGTATCTTCACAGCACCAGTAAGGGGAGTCTACTACTTCAGATACAGTTCTCTCTGTATCTTGACAAATACATATCCACAAATGGGTGTATTTTTGTATAAGAATGATCAGAGAATGGCATCCGCATATGAAGGGGACAATGATGGCTTGTTTGCAAATGTATCTAATGCAGCTCTCCTGGAGTTAGAGGTGGGAGATGTGGTCTACCTGTGTCTCCCTGTAAACTACAGACTCTATGGTGGTACAGACAATAGGAGCACCTTCAGTGGCTTCCTGCTCTTCACCATTTAAATGATGATCTGATAAGCTCATCGGAGCTTCAGTGTGTCCATGAGAAACTACTATGTTTTTTCCTCCCACCAATAAAAACATTAACATAATTATTTGTTCCCAGACTGATTAATTAATGTAATTAAGTATGGAATAAGGTGTTGATTGATTGGTAAGTACTTCTATGAGAAATTGTGTTACACTATTATTCTTGAATCTAACATTTAGCACGGTAAATAGAGAGAACTATATTCAAAACAAACGGACTGGTAAAAGAATACAACCATTAAGATGAATGAATTTTAATGAATTTTAGTAAAGTCAGTATGTCTAGAGTCAGATGATGAAGGAGGGAAGGTTCTACTTTAGGGTGAACCAAGCTTATAGAGGGAGATCTATGACAGGGTATAGAGCAGTGGTATTCAAAGTCGGTGTCACGACCCCTAGCGGGGTTCACCCAAATCCGAGTGGAAAAAATGCAGTTCCCGCTGAAAAAGTTGGAATACTACTGGTATAGAGTATGTTGTATCTGAGGAGATATATCTCTACCACTGAGACAGACAGCTGCTCTATTCACAGACAGGTGCTGGGGCTCAAATACTCCATGGCTCAGCAAAACAACCCAGAGACTACCCTTCTCTCCGTATCACCCTCTCCCTCTGTCTCTACCTCTCCTTCATTTTACCGACAGGCTACCCCCCTTCTCTCCCTCTCACTTCATCTCTCCCTCTCCCTCTCCCTTATCCCTTTATCTTTAGTCCAACTATCCACAGAGGCCACTTCATACTCTTCAAAAGCATGTCAGAGCCCGGCCCTCCCCACCAGGCATTCCTCAGGGCTTTAAAGCTGTTGTTAGGTGAGTCTACAGTACATGACAGATGGAAGGGTTAGGAGGGGTTCATATAGGACCGGGACCCTCATGCCCTGAGGGCAGCTGTAGTGTGAAGAGTGAACAGCAGGAATCTATCTGAGGACCAGACTGGACAGTACAGGGGGGGGTTTAATACCTGGACACTCCTAGTATCTGTCTGTGCAAGGACATGGTAGTTTACTCACAGGGCCTTGTCCAGAATCTCCTGTTTCTCTGTGAGTTCCTGCTTCAAGCTCTCCACCTCCACTTTCAACTCAATGTTCTGGAACACACAGAGAGAAACGTCACATCACAACAGTCTGCTAAATGGCATATTATTTATTATTATTATTATTAACAATATATCATAGAGAAACCATGAACTGTGCATATGTAATATATAATAAAA